AATTTATAATAAAATTTTTATTATAATTATTTATATTATAAAATAAATTATATTGTCAATAATTTATTATAAATAAATTATTGTTTTCATTCATTTATTTATTTACAACGAGAAATGATTATTCGAGTTTTGAAAATATATTCAGTTATATTCTACTCTTGTGATTGAGACTATATTTTTATTACAATAATCTCTCTTTTGATTTATTTAATAGTTTTAAAAGAATTTTCATTTTAATGATATGCAAGTATAAAATTTCCCGCGCAAAGTCATCTCCTACCCGTACATGATTCTGTAAAAAATTTATATATATGCAAAACGTTATCGATAGTGTAATCTTACGATTGAACACGTACAAAATTGTTCACTCTTGAGTCATGTTCGCCGCTGTTTCCTTCTCCTGCCAGAGATCTTTCCGCGCCTCTCCGTACTTACCACTACTCTTTCTCGCGGATGGGCTCTATAATACGCCGGATCGTCAGGCGCTGACCGGTTTTAATCTTTATCGTACACTAGTCACATAGCAAGCGCGTCAGTTCGACTATCGTGAGTGTGAAAGGCTGAAAATCACGCAAATTTATAAAGTCCTGTACAAAGTTAACAAATTCTGATAGTACGCAGCAATTCATCAATCATGCGGTTCAAATTGGGTAAATAATATTTTTCTTTCTAAACTTTTTCAAGTTTTAAAGATAATAATAAAATAACAAAATCGAAACATAGATACAACTACTAAAACTATATTTTTTAAGTATATTTTAATTATTTTTTTAAGTATTATAAAACTATATTTTTAAGTAATTTAATTAAACATTTCTTTTTTAATGTCATTGACAAATATAAATGTTCCAAGTATATGATAAAATGATTCTAATTTGTTACTAAATTTGTATCAAAACATTTTAAATTCTCTTAAATCTGCAGAAAAATGTGAAAATAAAGAACAGAGGTTAACGATGAAACTGGATTGAAGGTCAATGTTGAAATCTTCGAAATTTTTTCTTTTCTTGTAGACTATAAAAAGTTCAAGATCCTGTTTGTCGAGTAAGGTTGCTGACCGGCAACAAAATCGTGATTTGTTCGAGATTTCTGTTCGGATTATATCTATGTGGTCACTATTATCGAATTATGCTGTCCGGAAATGTTGTTAGAATTATGTATTGTGAATTATACAAAAGACTTTTGAAACAGGAAATTTATTATTAGATACATAAATGTAGAAAACTCTTGGAAACAACGTATTATTTCATTTATTCAAACGTTTGTATTAGAGGATTATTAATGAAAAAAAATTATATCACTGTATAATAAATAATTTAGTATGAAAAAAAATTTCTTTAGAGTCATCTTTTTAAAGACAACATAAAATATAATTATTTGTTCTATATAAAACTCTATTGCCATTTATATATTTATCTTCAATTATAAATTTATTAACTAATTGTTTGATATCTTAATAAAGATTTAATAGTGTCGTTATCTCTTTTTCTTTTATCTGTTTTTACCTTTTAAAATAATTTTCAATTTTTCTTAAAGTATATTGGTCACGTTAAATATTAAAATTATATGTATATATAATATTTTATTAAAGTTTACGCTTGCAATTAATTGAAAAATAATCACGCTTTATTATTTTATTTACACTGATATACATCAAAATTTCTTCATTTTCGAGGATTCATAATAGAAATATAATAAGAAACATAATAGAAATGTGATTGCCTTAATTTTGTTAAGCAAAAAACTTCAAATTAAAAGAGAAAATAATTTACGAATGAATAATTTATAAATAATATTTGTGATTGCGTGTATGTATATATTCTGATACATTTTCTCTTCTGAGGATGTACATAAATAAAAAAAAAAATTTAATTACAGGATATCTACTGTGCCTCTCAATCATAGTAATTTTTATGAAAAGATGTGTGTGCGTCGTGGCGCCAAATCTTACACAGACAAACATTTCTTCACAAATTACTCCCCAAACTGAAGATGACGAAGATTTCGTACCCTATCATGGTGAACGCTTCACTATCTTCGATTGGATGTTGTTCAGGGTATTTAAAGACTCGTATTGTCTCTTAAAAATTTATTAGTGACAATTATCTAATTTAAATATCTAAAAAATAAGACGGAAAACATGTAAAAGGAATCTTTTAACATTCTTTAGAGCTCTTTCAGATACTTTTTAAATTTTTATTTTGCCTGACTGAATATTGTTGCTGACACTCTGCCTTTAACATTTTTTTAGAATATGGCCAAGGCGAATGCAGGGAATCTATTACTGTCACCAATATCCATAAAATTAGCATTAGTGCTTCTTTTTGAAGGAGCTCAAGATCAAACTGCACGTGAACTTGCAGAAGTCATGCAACTTCCGCTTACTGTGCCGGCCACTCGAGAAAAATTTAACAATATCTTAAAATCTCTGCAAGTAATTAATTTATAAATATATACAAATATTCTCATATTATTTTTTTTTTCAAAAGATTTTATGTATAGAATATATATATATGTATACTATATATATATAAAGTTACATGCTATTTTTATTGACAGGATCCGTCTTCTGCGTATACTTTAAATATCGGATCGCGTATTTACATCGATGATAATGTGCTGACCAGACAACGCTACGCAGCGACAGTAAAAACCTTTTACAATACTGATGTGATCAACACCAATTTATCCGACACGCATGCAATTGCGACTAAAGTTAATTCTTGGGTCAGTAATATTACGAATGGATATATTGAAAAAATGATAGATGACGGTAGGTTTGCTTGAAGTTATCTTGATTTAACTAACTAATGTTTTATGTCCCAAGGTTGATGATATAATCTATGAAACATATAAAAATGCGTCATATTCTTCAGTTAAAGAGTTTTCTATGATTAATATTTCATAATTTGACATATAATTGTACAAATGTAATATATAAGTGTACAACTTGAATTTTTGTTTAATGTTTGTAAAATAAAAAAAATGCAGTTGTATAAAATACTTCGTTATTTTGATTACTAAGGTTTATACAGCTATTTATAAATATTAATTTGATATTTCAGAACAAAGTTTGGAAAACTCGGTAATGCTGATCGTTAATGGACTATTCTTCAAAGGTGCTTGGCGTCACAAGTACTTTACGACCGAGAACACTCACTTTTCCAAATTTCACATCAACGTCAACGAGAGCGTAGATGTACCATACATGCATACCATCGGTCGATTTTATTACGCCGAATCATCAAGACTCGACGCGAAGATTCTCCGGATTCCGTACGATGTATGTGACAGCCTGTATAACTTTATCAAAGATAATCATAGAAATAATGAGGATAAAATTTTTCAGGGCTCTAAATTTGCCATGTATATTGTACTGCCGCGCATGTTGACCGGTGCGGATCATATTATCAATCAGATTAATCCATTCACACTGGCGAGCGACATGTGGACCATGCAGGAATTGCCTCTCGACGTTTATATCCCGAAATTCAAATTCGAATTCACAAGTCATTTGGAAAATGTTTTGCGCGAGGTAATTTATTTATGTTTCTATATAAAAAGAACATTATATGTTACATTCAATAAAATATATTAGATATACATTCAGCAAAAATATATTAACAATTCAATGACGATTTTTGCTATGTATAAAATTTACTTTTTATACAAATTTGAATTTCTATTAAAATATGTTTATCCCTACGATATAACCGCAATGATTATTTTACATTTTTTCTTTTCTGTAACAGCTTGGTATTCGCGATATCTTCGATGACACTGCGCTATTGACAGGTATAGCAAAAACAAAACGAACTTCCAAACATTTAAAGGTGTCTGACGTGATGCATAAAACTGGAATAGAAGTAAATGAAGATGGGACAATTGCTTATGCTGCAACAGGTATGTTTTATATATAATAATATAATGAATTTTGTTGAGAAATACGAAATAAAGTAAAAGTAAACATATATATGTCAAATGTAATATTCATATAATATTTTCGTAATTTTTATCTAAATAAATTTTATATCTAATTGTGTTATTAGAATTTATCTTATCTTTTATTTTATAAAATCAGTACATAAATGTTGGTCATCTACACATTTACTATAATATAATCAAATTTATGAAAGGAAATATATACGTTTGAATCGCACTTATTTTATTTGAATATTTTAATAATAGTTTTTTTTTTTATTTCAGTTGTTTTATATATTTGATTATTTATAATATATTTGAAGCAAAAAAATTACACATTTTTATCTGCATTTAACAAGCCTTTTTCTTTCATGTTATGCTTATACTTTTTTTCTTAATACAGAGATACAGATTGGAAATAAGATAGAAGAGAGCACATTCCATGCCAATCAGCCGTTTGTGTTTTACATCGAGGACGAAACCACTGGTACCATTCTTTACATAGGTATAGTGCGGAATCCCCTGAATACATCTGGGACTACAGGGAAAATAAAGCAAGAATTTCCATCACGAGTTAATCTGAATACAACAACAGTAACTCCCACCAATCCCGGTAAACCATCATAAATATATCTATAATAATCGAAGATGTGTGGGAAAGGGTGGTGATGTCTTTTATGGTAGTAATGGCTACAACGTAATAATAGTTTTACTCTGGCGTAAAAATTTTTCTTTATGAGGTAAACTCTCTGATTGATATTTTAGCTGCGTTAAAAGTAAAACCAAAAAGTTATAAATATTAATATTTATATACTATTAATATTTAAGTTTCCTCTTTATTAACAGCGGTTTGGTGTTGAGTTGTACAGGGTATTTAGCCTTAAATTCGTATCATTTTAAAAAGCAAAAAAAGATAAAAGATAATATAGAAAATGAGCTCCTTTCTAGATTCTAGAGAGATCTTTTATCCAAAATGATACTATTTACCTAGAATGGTATTTTTATCTAATATAATATATATTGTTTCTTTGCCTTTTCAAAGATAAAACTTGAGGTAAAATACCCTGTATAGATAGAAAGGGTCTACTTTAGAAAAAGGAATTGCTAGATAAAATAATTAACATAGTATTAACACATTGCATGTATTACTCTACATATTTGTATTGTAGTATATAATTATATTTTGATAGATGTGGTACGATAAGAATCTCTGATCAAATCAGTTTTCCGGTTTAAATTCCATTTATTTAAATCCGTTAAATATATAAACTATTTTTATTCAATTCAATATAAAAAAAAAACTATATTTTTTTCTTTAGATATAGTAAAATGGAATACTTTGGATACAATCTCGCTTTAAATTGTAGCGTTATTAAATATTCTGCAGAGATTGTGTATATTTATTGTGTATATGTGACATATTATAATCGATATTACTATCATGAATAAAATCTATTCTGTTCCCAGTGTAATGCTAAGTTCTCGCATCTAAATTTCATATAAATCTATTTATTTATTTTAATACTTGATGTGCCTTTATTACGAATGCCAATGTACCAAAGATATAATTTATTTATACCAAATAGATTTATTATAGATTTTATGCAATAAAAACCTAGCATGCACATCTCACGAAGCTGAGATTATTTTGATAATCTTATAAATTTTCTTAACATTATTAATTATTAACACAATATGCTTGCAAATTTGCAGAAAATGTAGTTTCTTCATTAATGAAATAAATAAAATAAAATATGTTATTTTCAACAGCAATTTTATGTATCATTTTAGGAATGTCGGTAAACATGAAATCAAATTAAATTTTCTTAATCTAATACACACACATAAATTCAAATTTCAATCAACTAATTATTAATAAAACTAATTATTGTACTATTTATTCAAAAACTAATGGGTAATACTTTTCGTGAGTTTTTCCTGTTCCATCATCTGTTAGATATAAATGACAAAATTATCATCACGCATGACTATATGGGCTGGTGTTACATTTACCAATGTTATTGCTATAATATAATCATAATCTATTGCTCCACATTCTTATTTTTATTGTTAATATTAGGGTTCTGTAAATTGTTCGCATTCATTTTAACTGACAATTATATAATAACAACAATAAGTTCAGAGTACTAACAATTAAATAGGAAAACTGACTGATAAGAGCCAAGGCGTGGATATTGATGCGTGAATTTATTATTTTAAAATTTTAATAACGAATATGCATTAAAAATATACATTTCGAATCGTTTTTTGGTCTATCTTTAGCATGGATATAATATATCCATTCATCATGTCAGGTCATTATTATATTGTAAATTACCGACAGGTATGCATGTGGCGATGGCGTTTGGACGTTATCCATTAATTTGTGCAGATTCTTACGCGGGTTTTAGTGAGCCTTCCTTTCTGATTATTAATTTTAATTGGAAATTGGACTGCAACAATAAATATTGTGTATGTCACAGTTTCAAATTCTTGAATTTGTTAATAAAGTTTAACAATAAATAAGTTCGCACACCGATACCAAATAAAAAAATTTAAGAAAGGATTCGCTCGTACTCCATTTTCTGCGCCTTGGCTATCATTAGCTATTTTTCTTTTATTCGTTTTTAAATTAAGAATATATTAATATAAGAAAAAATTAATTAGCAAGCAATCGGAATTACTACATTTATTAATTATGAAGAAATGCATCGCGGTGTAAAATATTTAAAGAAATTATATAATTAAAATGCAATTCAAAGCATTTTAAAAATGTTTTATAAATGTAAAATTTTTTAATGTTTCGTAAATACAGAATTTCAAAAAGTTTCTCACATGAAGGCAAAAGAGAAATTGAAAACGAAAAGCGAAGACGAGCAAAAGAATGTAAATTTAAAGTTATGGTTTATTACTGATGTTAGGTAACGAGAGTTTTATGGAACTTCCCGTTCAAGCTGTCCTATGTCAATCAGACATTCTATTCAAATCTCCAAGTACCCTGTAAAACGGGATAGACAACTGAATGGAAACGGCGAGCAATTAAGACGGGATA